GTAGGTGGATTCCCAGAGAGGAATGAAGATAGTTTGTATGTATGCATGTATAGTTCCAAGTTTTCTTATTTTTTGTTATTGTGGTCGTAAATTTTGTGTAGCCGTCCTAACTAAAGACAATTGAAGATATAGAAGCTGAAATCTAAAAGATGCATACTAAAAGCCTTTCAAACAGGCATCTTATCGAATCCTCTATTGACACTGGAAGGAGTCTATGTATGGCAACTGTATTGCATGTAATTATCAGTTATGAATGTGAAAAATACAGATCAAAATGGGTATTATGTTCAGTTTAACATTATTTGAACAAAAATTGCTAAAATAATGATAAACTATAGAGGTAGAGGTCGTTCTTATTGTACCATTGAACCTAACTTTTCAGTTTAAACCATTACTTTTCAAAATTTCATTACGCCCATCATAACTTTGTTGTTATTGAAGACTCTTCAAGGTATGTATTTCTTTTTATCCTTGCCTTTAATGTCTTAAGAGATTTGATTTTGCTCCATTCATTTAATTACTATTAGGCATTTCAATTGAAATTTTAAAATGTTTAGGAAAAAAATTGAATTCAGCTACTTAGATGAAGGGTGTTTTATAAAACGTATGTCAACTATTTTGAATATCAAAATGAATGCTTTACTTGATATATAGGTTTACCCGATATAGAAGTGAATATCTATCCCATACTCTAATAGTTTTGGATGATCTTTTAAAACACTTGGGTGTCGCTTGCTCCATCTCTCGTTCCTTAGCAACAAGCTCAAAAATTTCTTGAGTACTGGTATAACATCAGAATGTGAAATTTTCTGCAACTTAATCTCAACTCCTACTTGCTTCGTTGTCTTGAAACCTTTCTTTTATTTGTTCTTGTAAATAACATTTTCATCGAAAGTCACGTAACAATGTCTTATGATTTTTCTGTTCTTGTCATCTCAAAACCTGTACTCAAACATGTCAGAATCATAGCTTATGAAGTAGCATTTCATAGTCTCAGTGCCAAGTTTGTCTCTCTTCTCTACAACATGAACATACATGTCAGAACCATAACTTATAAAGTAGCATTTCACAGTCTCAGTGTCAAACTTGTCTCTATTCTCTAGATCAACATGAACATACGTAGGACAACCAAAATTTCTCCTCTTTTGTTAACTTAAACTTCAAGGGTACTGATGACTCTCTATTAATCAAAATGAATACTCATAGTTCTTGCCAGCTCATTTAATGTTATGTTCATCCTTTTAGCAACACCATTTTGCCTTGTCTTATCGGGAATTATCTCCATTAATTCCCTTAGCGGCACAAAATGCTTTGAATTCTGACTTGTCATACTCTCTTCCATTGTGAGACCTCAGACATTTTCAACTTTAGCTTCTACTTCTTGAAGGTGGCAAACACATCTGACTTGTATTTGAGGAAATAAATCCATACCTTCTTGCTGAAATCATGAATGAAGGTGACGTAGAACTTTGATCCACCAAGTGATGGAACTGGAGATGGTTCCTAAACGTCTGTATGGACCATTTCCAATCGCACTTTATTCAGTTCTCTAACCATCTTTGTGAAGCTAACTTGTTTTTGTTTGTCCATAACACAGCTCTCACAAGGATCCACATCAACAGATTTCATGCCTTTTGAAACTTCTTTCGTAGTTAACACCTTCATTTCTTTGACGCTCATATGTCCAAGTCTATTGTGCCATAAACTTGAATTGGAAGCACTCTCTGCAATAGTAGTCATGTTTATACAACATGCAGTGGTGTATAAGGTACTATATTTTGTGCCACGTGCTACCACCATAACACCCTTCACAATCTTTCATGAACTCTTCCCAAACTCTGATGCATAACTCGTGTTATCTAGCTAACCAATAGAGATCATGTTCTTCTTGAGACTAGGAATATATGTGACATCCTTTAATATCCATTAATTTCCTACGAGAGTTTTTATGCAGACATCCACATTTTCTTTAATCTTCAAGGCTTTGTTCTTAGCAAGATACGCCTTGTTAAAATTTCAAGATTTGAAATTTTGAAATAATTCCTTATTTGGAGACGAATGGAAAGATGCACCTGAATTCAAAATTCAGAATTCAATTGGGCTATCCACACTAAAGATTAGAGAATCCCCATTGTCTTCTGCTGAATTTATAGAATTATTATCATCCACTGATGTGTGATTTTGCTTTCTCTTTGGTCTTGTACAATCTATCCGAAAGTGATTTTTTTCTCCATAATTCCAACACGTTACGTTTGGTTTGTTTGGAAAAAAAGTTCGGTTCTTTGATTTTGATCGGCCTTTGTTTGGTCCCTTCGATTTACTTCTTCCCATTTGGTCAACAATGAGAGCACTACCAGATGAATTTCAAATTTCTCATTTGCGAATATGTTTGCTGAGAACTACATCTCATATTTTATCAAACTTTAGTTTTTCAGATCCTTGGGAACGGCTAATCACAACAATAATAGTATCCCAAGACTTGGGTAAAAATGTCATCAAAATCAGTGATTTAGCTTCATCTTCAAAATTAATTTCCACCGAAGTCAGTTGACTTACAATCATACTGAATTCATTTGTATGACCTTTAGACATTTGTAGATTGAATAATCTACACATCAAATACAACTTATTTATAGTTGACGGTTTTAGTACATATTCGACAATGCCTTGAACAGATCCGACATTATCTTCTCCTTCATGATGTTGAAAGCCAAGTTTCTGGACAGCATAAACCGAATCAACCCTAGGGCCTACTGATCCTTGAGTGATAAGAATGACAGTGTTCTAAATGTTCCAACTGGACCTATTACACGATCCTAGGCGAAGAAGATTCAACAAACATTCCAACTTTCTATGGGAGATCTGATCCAGAGGAGTATTTGCAATATGAGAGCAAAATTGAGCATGTTTTCGATTGCAACAATTTCAGTGAAGAAAGAAAGTTGAAGTTTGCTGTGGCTGAATGAGATCTGATCTAGAGGAGTATTTTCGATTGAGCATGTTTTCTTTGAAATCAGAGTGGAGGAGAAATTATGAAGAACCAATTGAAACGTGGGAGGAGCTGAAGACATTAATGAGAAAAAGGTACATTCCTAAGCATTATTCTCGAGTACTCAGGATCCAAAAGTGTTGACAAATATTACAAAGAAATGAAGGCCCTTATGAATAGAGCATGTATTGATGAAGATGAGGAAGATACAATGGCTAGATTCCTTGGTGGGTTAACCCGACAAATTGCTCATCAAGTGGATAGGCAAGCGTACTTTGATGTGCAAGAATTGTTACACCTTGCTGTCAAAATCGAAGGACAACTAGGTTGGGAGAAGAACTCCAAGAGGTATGATATTTCAAAGTCTACTACTTTCAACACTTGGAAAAAGAATGCAAATATTGAAAAGATAGATTTCAAAGTTGGAGGCAAGTATGATCTTGACAAAAAGAACAAAGCTGAGACCTCTAAGGGTAAAGAGAAAGCGGAAGAATATAAGGAGATTCGAGAAAGAAATAGAGACATCAAATATTGGAAATGTCAAGAAATTGGTCATCTTAGTCGTGATTGTCCTAACAAGAGAGTCATGATCGTCAAGAATGGACAAGTTATCATAGATTGTGAGGAAACTAACCAGGATGAGCTAGTTGAAGAAGAAATCCAGGAGAATGAGGAGGAACTGGAAGATGGGAGTCATTTGGTACTTGTTACCAGAAGACTTCTTAAAACTCAAGTTACAGAGAATGATGTTGATGATCAAAGAGACAACCTATTTCACACAAGGTGTTTAGTCAAGGGGACTCCTTGTAGTCTTGTAATTGATAGTGGAAGCTGCACCAATGTTGTAAGTACCATGCTGATCAAAAGGTTGCTAATTCCAACCCAACACCATCCTAAACCTTACAAGCTTCAATGGCTCAATGACAGTGGAACAATGAAGGTAACTTCTCAAGCTTTAATATCTTTTACTTTGGGAAAATATAAAGATGAAGTTCTTTGTGATGTTTTACCAATGCATGCTGGAGATATATTGCTTGGCCAACCATGACAATTTGACAGGAGGGTTATGTATGAAATGAGGCATGGAACGGAGCCACTACGAAGAAGTTCCGGGAGTGACGAAGGAAACCTCGAGCTCATATTGGTCATGGGTTGAGAACGGGAATGGAATTCTGATGGATATTTGAATAGGTATTCTTTTGTAAAAGATGGTAGAAAAACCACTCTTGTACCTTTGAGTTCTGCAAATGTATTTGCTGATCAATTAAAGTTGGAAGAAAAAAAGAAAGAGTCGGAGAAAAAAGAGTTGAAAGAAAAATAAGAGTTGAGTGAAAAAATAGAGAAAAATCAAAGAGAAAAACATAGTGAAAAAGAATGAAATTGAAAAAAAAAAAAAAAAAGGAAAGAAGGTGAGTTGTTTGGCTAGAGTTGGAGAGGTTAGAAGGGCACTGTTCTCACAAAAAACCATCTTTGTACTTGTGTACAAGGAAGGATGTTTGGTTTCTAACGATAACAATTTGTCTTTGCCTAGTATGTTTCAATCTCTTTTACAGGAATTTGATGACGTATTCCAAGATGAAGTCCCTAAAGGACTACTTTCCATTAGAGGTATTGAACATAAAATAGACTTCATACCAGGGGCAGTCATTACTAGAAATCTGGATATCATCAAATTAGAATGCATGTAGGAGACGAATGAAAAATCGCGTTCAAAACTAAGTTTGGATTATATGAATGACTTGTTATGCCTTTTGGATTAACTAATGCTCCTAGTACATTTATGCGCTTAATGAATCACGTTTTGAGAGAATATTTAGGAAAGCATGTTGTTGTGTATTTTGATGATATTTTAATTTATTCAAAGACTTTGCATGAGCATGTTAAGTTAGTTTTGATTACACTTAGAAAAGAGAAACGTTATGCTAATTTTAATAAGTGTAGTTTTTGCACGGAAAAAGTTAACTTTCTTGGCTTCATAGTTGGTAAAAATGAAGTAGAAGTAGATGAAGAGGAAGTTAAAACAATCAGAGATTGACCAACACCACAAAATGCAAGTGAAGTTCATAGTTTTTATGGGTTAGCTAGCTTCTATAGGAGATTTATAAAAGATTTTAGCACCATAGCTTAAATGATTAAGTGAAAAAGAATGTTGTTTTTAAATGGGGAGATATGCAAAAGAATGCATTCAATGAGCTTAAGAATAAATTAACCAATGCACCATTACTTGTCTTGCCTAACTTTGATAAAACTTTTGAAATTGAGTGAGATGCAAGTGGTTTGGGCATAGGTGCTGTTTTGATGCAAGATGGAAAATCGGTAATGTATTTTAGTGAAAAATAAATGGGGCAGCATTGAACTATCCTACCTATGATAAAGAATTATTTGCTTTAGTACGCACATTGTAGGTGTGGCAACACTACTTATGGCCTAGAGAATTTGTGATCCACTCTAATCATGAAAGCTTGAAGTATCTTAAGGGTCAAAGCAAATTGAACCGTAGGCATGCAAAGTGGGTGGAATTTATTGAAACATTTCCGTATGTCATTAAATATAAGCAAGGTAAGGATAATGTGGTAGCTGATGCATTATCTAGAAGGTACAATCTTTTTACTTCTCTTAGTGCAAAAATTCTTGGATTTGAGCATATTAAAGAATTATATCGAGATTACCAAGACTTTGGAATTATTTATGCATCTTGTCTTACAAAAATAGCTCTGGATGATTATTATGTGTTTCATGAATTCTTATTTAAGAAAAGTAAGCTTTGCATTTCTAAATGCTCTATCAAAGATTTTCTTGTAAAAGAAGGGTGGCTTAATGGGACATTTTGGGATTAATAAAACTTATAATGTGTTGCATGAACACTTTTTTTGGCCGAAAATGAAGCATGATGTTCATAAGTTTTGTAGTCAATGCTTTAAATGCAAAGAAGCTAAATCTAGATCACAACCAAATGGATTGTACACTCCTTTGAGTACCTAACGAACCTTGGACTAATATATCTATGAATTTTGTTCTTGATTTACCGCACACTAAAAAGGGTAAAGATAGTATTTTTGTTATGGTAGACAGATTTAGTAAGATGACTCATTTTATTGCATGCAACAAGACGGACGATGCACAACATGTTGCTGACTCATTTTTTAGGTGAGTAGTAAGATTACATGGAATCCCTAGAATAATTGTTAGTCATAGGGAGCTAAATTTCTAAGTCATTTTTGGAAAGTATTGTGGGGTAAATTGGGTACCAAATTGTTGTTTTCAACTGTATGTCATCCTCAGACGGATGGACAAACTGAGTGGTTAATAGAACATTAGAAGTATTGCTTAGGGCTATTATTTCTAAGAATATTAAGTCTTGGAAAAATGTTTGCCATTTATAGAGTTTGCATATAATAGAGCAATTCATAGTATCACTCATTGTTCTTCTTTTGTAGTTGTTTATGGACTTAATCCAGTTATGCTTCTTGATTTGCTTCCTATTTCTTCTAATATTGTTGTGAGTGACACAGCCACAAGTACGGCAGACTTGATCAAAACATTGCACAAGGAGACTAAGGAGAGAACTGAGAACCAAAATTTCAAATTTGATTCAAGGATTAACAAAGGACAGAAGGAAATCATTTTTAAACCTTGTGACTGGGTTTGGATACATTTTCGCAAGGAGCTATTCCCATCTCAACAGAAGACAAAGTTACATCCAAGAGGGGATGACCCTTATCAAGTCCTTGAAAGAATTAATAACAATGCATATAAAATTGATATTCCCGGAGGCTTTTCAGTACATTCTACTTTCAATGTTGTTGACTTGAGTCCTTTTGATGTAGGTGATGATTTTTCTGATTCGAGGACGAATCCTTTTAAAGAGGGGGAAAATGATAAGAATCACGGTGTTCTGAATGTTCCAACTGGACCTATTACACGATCCAAGGCGAAGAAGATTCAACAAACATTCATTCTTTATCTACAAAATTGGATCGACTCGGTTCAACCATCATTTCTAGAATTAGATATCAACGTTTATTGGAAAACTTTATTGTTTTTTTCGTTTTCATTTTGTAATGGTCAAATGGTCAAAATTGACTTCGTCTTTTGTGGAGATTAAAGGGGATCGAAATTGAATCCTGGCCACAAACGTCTTTTGTCGGGAGACTATAAATACCCACAATATGTTATGTAAAAATCAGATTCGTGGATGAATGTAATTGAGATCTCGAATTGAGACGTTTTCCTTAGAAATCTGACTATCAATTTTGCCATTTCTAAGTTTCAAGCCATTCTTGTGGTAGAATTGCATTTGAGCCATTTAGTCAAGCCTTGATCAAGTTCGATTGTGGGGTGACTCAATTTAGAACAAGGTTTCCAAATCTTGCTTCTAGATCTTCAATCGTCAGAGGTAATCTAATTCTAGCCTTATCTCTTGGTTGATCCGAATTTTGTATAAGGAGGTGTTAATTACTTTGATTCAAGGGTTCTTGCTTCAACAAAAGCTTGGATCGTTGGGCTGAGGATTAGGGTTGCCTTATCATTGAACTTCCACTACTCCGTGGTCATGGTATTCGGCTTCACCCTGGACAGGGGTTCGTGAAGATCTTTTTGGATTCTCACTAGAGCGGAAGGAAATCAAAGAATTTCTCAAGAATCCTACCTCTTTCCAACAAGACCTGATTTTATTGACTAGAGGATTATATTGATGACTTCGTATAGACAATGCAGAAAGTACATCTTCAGCATATATGATTCAATTTACCATATACCTATAGTCATCTAGTATCTACCATATATAACTTTACCTTATATCCCTCTACTATCTACCATATATAACTTTATCAAATATTACTTTTTTCTATACAAATTTGTTTATTATAAATGAACATTTACTTATTTGCTACATATAATCATTACTTAAAACCTAAAATACAAACAAATAAGCAATAGACTCCATAAATTAATACTTTTGATTCTGCCCAAATGGAAAATCCGAAGTAAAAGCAGTTTTCGTAAGACAATGGGCGAATTCATCACAAGGGGGAGGGTAATGATTGATGGAAATCACTTCCACTTTTGAGGCAGATATTCAATATCGCCGGTCACGTTCTTGATCTCTGTTAGATCTTTCGAGAAGATTGATAACCTCTGTGGTGTCATGATCTACAATTATAGGAGGGGGAGTTGTTTTCATAAACAAAGGAACGCATCTCATAGATTTGATAGATTTGACTTGCCATTTGTTGGTGCATCTTCAAACCCTTGCACAGATTGAAGATCCCATGGAGTCACGAATCATCCATCCAACTCATTATTATAACATTGAAATCATAATTTGTTAGAAAAGATTAAATAGGTATAAAAGAAGTCATGTTTGTAAATAATTAGTCAAAGTTTTAATGTTTTCATGTGGAAGCCACCCATATGCACCTAGGTAACCAACTTAAAGCTGGATAACAGATGAAATGCGCCTAACAACTAGACTTAATGGACAGATCTTTTCTGAAATCACGAATTCGACAAATCATTGAAAGATAATCCATCAAATCTTCTCAAATCAAGTGGTCGGTGCAACTTCTCAAACTGATCTGGATACAAATCCTGGACTTAGAGTTTATAAAAGGCGGTCATAGTTATAATTTCAAGAAATTCGGAGTTTCAAATCCTTTTCATCACTTCGGAACAGTTTATTTTGTTTTCTTCTTCTTCCTTGTAGTTGTGACACCTAATTTAATACACCCCATTCAAAAGAAAGAAGTGTAAAGAGGGGAACAAAACTAGGGATCCTTTTTGCTGTTAGTCTATCATTTAGTTTCTGTTTGTGTTACATCTTTAGTTGTTGTTTTGTATTTCAATTCTAGTGTTGTGTTGTTAGTTCTTATTCAAGTTCAAGTGCATTTGAAGCTCTTTAGTATAATGAGTAAAACACTTTCTTGGAATTCAAACATGTACCCTAGATAGGAAACACCTTAATGCACAAGTAATTTGTTAAACACTTGGCACAATCTTCTTTTATTGAGTTTAAGTTTCATTCTAAACTTAAATTGATAACATAGATTAACATATTTTGTATGGAATCCAATACGGTAAAGGTTGGATATATGAAGCCCAATTTTCATAACAGAAATTTAGGAGAAGTCCTTAGAAATATTTTTTTTTGGTTCCTAGATATAGGACAAAACTTATATAGGGACCTTTATCTTGTTAGCTTTTATTATATTTTTATCTAAGTTTAATTAGTCATGTCTACATATGTGTTTAATTACCAAAACTCCTAAAAATATAAAATTGGTAAATAGGTGTTGAACAGTTAGAGATATTGAAAAGGGTAAGTTGCAAGGGCGATCAAGTTGCATTCTACTTCTACTTGAACCATGTGAGTGCATGCACGAGATAATCCCTTATAAACCTCGCTTAGTTAAATAAATTATGGGCACATATACCACGTATATGAATGGCAGACCTTCCGAGATTTGTGACTGGGTCCTATAGCTTTAAGCACGCTTCTAGTATTTGATTTTATTGTAGGAGTTATATAATTGAATGATGTATGATGGTGCATGCCTTGTAGCCCTTGCATGCACTATATTATTGTATGCTAAGTTCATGTGTCCTTTGTATTGTCATATGATGCTATCTAATGTATGCATGTGATATCCATTACACTATATTATGAATAAAATGAAATGCTATGTATGCTATGCACGCCTTATCATGTAAAGTTATCTGATGGATAATGTGATGATTGCCACCATGTATACACAATGCATATATGTAATATGTCATGGATGAGAGTGGAAAGGAAATAATGATAATGCTCTATTATGAATGTAAATTATGGGAACCTCATGCTTGTACGTATGTCATGTGCATTGGGATACTTCCCCGTTATGTTATGTTAGTATGGATGAGTACCTTCGATATTTATGTTTGCCATGATATTATGCAAGTCTTTCCTTTTATGTGGCGTTTGGCAATGTGCTATGCGTTGTGCCTGACCAAGCCAAGCCTATGGAGTACATAAACAAGCCTGCCTGGTGGGTCTATGTGCTGTTACGGGGCCGTGTGTGGAGAAGTATCTCATATCCAACCCTGCCTGAAACTGAAAAGAATCCAAGGTCATGTTACAGTTTTAAAAGATATAGGTTCCAATCATGTTATGTGCGTGATTGAATTACTAAACCTAACAGTGGGATGACTTACTGAATATTTCTTAAAATACTCTGTATTATCCTTACATTTTTCAAGTAAAAATAAAGCTCTCATGCAACGGATGACGGTGAATGCTGGAAAGACTATGAAAGTCAATATAGATCATGATAGAGCAATAGAACGCATTGAATTTCATTTAATAGTTAATAGGTGTTTTATGAAAATTTGTTTATGTTCAAGACTTTCTTAACTCTATTTTCTTGTGTTGAATTAAATATGTAAGTCCATGACATTATTTTAAGAGTATCTCTTATGAATTTACGCATATGTGTTTAAAGCATGCATGTAGTGACGTCACTAATGTAGGGTAAGAAAATTAGGTGTGTTACAACCCGCATGATCAATGCCTAGTTAAACTCCACACAGGGTAGCCTAGTTAAACTCTCTCGCACTCAAGGCCATACAACCCTAACTAGCCTCATGCATAGCTCAATGGTACCATGGTGGAGCGAAAAGGGTAGTGAAGGCTCCACGGACTTTGCACCGTTTGCTACCAGTCCACATGATATCTTTATTTCCTCCAAGGTTCCTATGGTGGTCGTCTAGGATGGTTAGGCTGTCTCGACGAAGCTAG